ATACGCGTCATCATCAAGCACATGTTTTTCCTGAAAGGTACAGCAGTAGACCCCATCAAAGGGCGTTCTATTCTTGATAAGGTTGTCAGTCACCCACACAAAACTGCGAGGTTAAATTGATATTGCGTCACGCAAGGTTGCCAGTCACCCACACAAAACTGCGAGGTTAAATGGATATTGCGTCACGTAAGGTTGCCAGTCACCCACAAAACTGCGAGGTTGTATGGCTACTACGCCACGTAAGGTTGCCAGTCACCCACAGAAACGGAAAGAATAGATGAGAGTGTCAGCGAATCCTAACCAAACTGCTGCATATACCTTCTTGAGTGCTTGGAAGTTGATGGGAATATTTTGTCCCTCTTGTGTTAAAACATAGAGATTGATATCCGACTCATTATTTTTGCGTTCACGTCGATAACGGGATATGCGAAGGCGTCATGAATCTTTGCACCCTCTACCGACAATGAGTTGCGTGTTATGAACAGGAGTCTGTTGCATGTCCAGCGGTAGGAGTTGTAGGGGGATACACTTGGAAATTTGGTCAGGGGTCTGTGTAACCGACAGGACTACATGGAAATGATCTCCATTTCGTACCAGAACACTGTATGCACGAAAGCAGCGCAGTGGTTGCACACCAGTAAGAAGAAGATGTGTTGGGTTGTTGATCAGAAACACAGCTGTGTAAGCTCTAACATGGATCCAACATTGTTGTTTGCGTGACCGAGGAATAATTAACCTTGTCAGACAAATCGCAAGAATCGTTGTGTCACTTTTACGAAAGAGGAGTAATTAACCTCAGTCGTAGATTGGCGTTCGATTTGATAGGTAACCATGATGTCGTACAGAATGCGAAAGACAACGGTCACTGCTGCGCAGAACAGGGGGCGTATTGCAAGGTATTCTCCCCAGCAGTGCCACGTGCTAAATTGACGCTTTGGGTGACTGATTTTGCCTGTGCCTTTCCCTTTCGGATGCGCAATCTCCCCTGCACTGCCGAGTCAATCCCCCCGGAGAGACAGCTGCACCCACCCCACCCAGGCGGATACGTGGCACCTGATGAAGCCTGAGCCGCGGCCATGCCAGCAGAAAAGGGTGGCCGCGGCAGAGGCGAGGGTGGCTACCGCGGGGAAGAAGCAGTGGCAGGAGGGATGGATGAAAGCGCTGGGGTTGATGGGCCGGCAAAAATACTTCGTGTGACCAATGGTGTGACTTTTCTTATTTCGTGTTCTCATTGTTTTGGCTTTGGTTTGTGGTGCTTCGGCTTTGTGTTTGGTCTTTTTGAGTAAGAGGTCGAGCCTGAACGAGTAGGATTTTATTTTCGAGGTTTTCACAGGATGTTTGGTTGTGAACAGCGATCACAACCTGAGGGAGCAGGTGGTAGAGGAGATTTTATTCTTGGAAAATTGGGATGCAGGGACTTTGAAGACCTCGAAGCAGACGTACGCTGAAGAGTTGGGGATGGAGTTTGGGGTAGAGCACGGGAAGGAAATTCCTCTTCCTGTAGGGTTGAAGCTTTCAGAGTTTGACCAAGATGAAGAAGTGGTATCAAGGCCTTTTCGTGAGCTGATAGGATCATTGATGCGGCTGGCAACGCAAACGAGGCCAGATATCGCGAACGCAGTGAGAGCGGTAGCACGGTAGTGTGCTTCTTCCAAAGAAATTCATTGGAGAGCAGGTCTTGGTATTTTGGGGTATGTGGTAAGGACTAGTGACTTGGGTATTTCATTCAGGAGGGGTAGTGTAGCAGGGTTGAGCATGGAGGTGTTCGCAGACGCAGACTATGCAAGTAAGGCTGCCGATAGGAGGTCTGTGTCAGGAGGGTTGGTGATGTGTGGGGGGGGATGTATTTCTTGGTTTTCAAGGACGCAGAAGTACGTTACGTTAAGCACGACAGAGGCGGAGTATGTCTCCCTTGCGGATGTGATGAAGGAAGTGTTGTTTCTGAGGCAAGTATGGCGTTTCATGTTGCCGATATGCCGTGTATTCCGGTGTTCGAGGATAACCACGGGGCTATTCAGTTGGCGCAGAACCCGATTAGCAACAGTAACTCGAAGCACATCGACGTAAGGCACCACTTTATCAGGGATTTGGTATGCAGGAAGGAGATTTCGATTTTTCACGTGGAATCGGCGTATCAACATGCTGACTTCCTCACGAAGGCACTTAACGTGGGAAATTTCGAGTTTCATCGTAACTTCGTAATGAGTATGGATTAATATTTTGATGTTTGGGTTTATTTTGTGTGTGATCAAACAACTAGGGCGGCAACATTTTGCATTTTTGCCTATGGATTTTCTCAATGGATGGTGTTCTAGGCTGGGGGGCAATTAGTTCACTGAAGCTCGAAGAAGTATATCTGATATGACCGGGGATGGGAATTGATGTCTAGCCAGTGAGGCTATTGTTCTGGAGTTGAGTTGACTTTCTGAGTTTATTTTCTTGTGTTTTGGAGTTCTTGAGGATCGAAAAAGACATGGCATGGTCACAAGCAGGGGGGCTGATAGATATACTTGTAGCAATGCCAAGTGGTTGTAGGATTGTGTGGTACGTGGAATGTATTTCCAGGGTGTGCAAGGTACCCCTGTTGTATACTGCGTCGCCCCCTCATGGTGGTGCGTGCACGCGTGCGTGCAGTCCATGTCTGTCCATGTGTCCATGTGTCCATGTTCGTTCATGTGTTCATGTGAGTCCATGTTTTTTCATGTGAAGAAGAAGTCTATACAACAAGCCCAGCACATCTTTTCCTCCTTGGCGCGAGTTCGCCGAGTTGCCGACACCCTATTCAACACACGTCTTGCGACAAGCTACCCCCAGTTCGGATCATCCTAACATTGATTGCTCGGATCTCGACGGCAAGGGCGTTGGGCTTCACCATCCTTGGTCACGCGTGTCACTGATACAGTACGCTGCCCTGTGCTGTGCAGTAGCACAGTACATTTTCGCGTATGTTTCGTGTTCGGAAAATGACGGCTTCAATTTGTTCAGGTATTCATCGCCGATGATGATGACCGACGATGTTTGGTCGGCCGGAGGGCCCGTCATTGCAACTGAACCGGTGACAAAGAGATAGACTAGACGTGATCTCATACACATCCTGCCATCGTTGATGATAGCGAGAAAGACCAGTCGCAGACAAGGCTCGAGAACGTGAGTGGGTGCGGTCTCCCGCAGGACGATATGTCGAAACCTCACACACCTACATGTCGAAAGTGGGCCCGTAGCAACAGCTCCGCTGGCCTTTTGATATTAGGGAATCACAGGTGGCCAGAGCGGCAGGTTGTGGCGGGTTGAACACCAAGAAAAAATAATGTCGCCGCATTGCCGAGGTATCGTCGCGTGCGCAGCTGCGATTGGTTGGACAAATCTTCTCGAACTTTTCATAGACTGTTTTTTTTTCAGCAGAGAACAGAAGAGTTTCCCGTTCTGCCGGCTCCTCTCATCAACATCGCCCCAGCATCGGAACGAGAAATCCGTAGCAGTACCTCTCTCCATGCTCCCGTAGGTGGTGACATATGCCTGCAGTGTACATGTAGTCAGAGGTGCGCTGCAAAGTGAGGTACACCTGCGCCCCTCGTCCCCTCGTGCCCCGCGAAAAAAGATTATTCCGCCGCGTTTTGGACGGTTACATTAATTAATTTATTTATTTATTTATTTTTTGTTCTTGATATGACACAACGAAACCATCTCTATCTATAGAAAAGAGTCTGAGACAGATTAGCAATTTTATCTTTTTGTCGCGCGCGCTGCACGTTGATAACTCAAATTGATTGTATCGCGAACGAATCAATATTCATTTTCTGGTCAGTGCACGCACACATGATCGTGCTATGAAATGCAATACTTGCACATACGTGTTAGGCAATCCAAACTTTGCCCATAAAAGGATTGAGATATATTTTGTTTGCGAATATCTCGTCTGTAGACGTCGATCGTATGTATGTACTGCTGCAGGCCTCATTGTCCACCCCATTCGGTTGCATCGCTTCCATGATATAAAACACCGGTGTCGGGCAATGTCCGCCACCATGACAATGACACCGGCAGTATTGCGATGTCACGTGTCTGCTAAACGAAGAGGTTGCGCCGCACCGGAGAGTGATTGTTATGTTGTTGTTGTTGTTGTTGTTGTTGTTGTGTGTTCACAATAAAAACCGTTCCGGTCACCGCTCAACCTTCTAGTTAGTGTCCGTACTGGTCCAACCGACCATGACGCCTTCCGTGGTCACAAGTCCCAAGCCAACTGCCCCCAACACCTCTCTCAAAAAAATAAAAATAAAGTGGGTCCATAAGAGTCCTCCAAGGCGCGATTTGCCTACTATACCCGCCGAACGAAAAAAGAAAAACTAAGGAAAACTACAATAATAATGATAACCGGGAAACAGACGATCGACCCCTGTCAAAAGGGATGAAAGAACGAAAGACAAAGAAAGAAAGAAATGAAAGCATTTTTCGAGTCCAAATTTGTTTTTTATTTTCTTGCGTCTCAGTCGTGGCTCCAGTGTAAGAGGGTACCTAAGTGGGGGCTCCGATCTAAGAGGGTCGAGGGCCTGTGTACACCACCCCCTTATATCGGAGGCACGCCACGCTTGTACAACAAAACGAATGCATCCCTGGTTTCGCAGCTTGCCTCGGGCAACCGTGCCGGTCCTCTACAAGTTTGTTCCATTTTGGAGTGTATCTCGCTCCCACCAGGCGTTGCAAACGCGGAATTTCAGTTGCACATAACAGTAAGTCATCACTTGTACTACTATTTAGGTGGCTCACGGTGGTGTAGAGGACACAGACGAGATGAAGATTCACACCCAACCAATCTATACCGGTGTCAACCTTTGTGCAAGAAGTTGTGCGTGCTTATCGTGTTGCATCCTTGCGACGACATTGATTGTTGTCGAGCGGTAGGCACAGACGGACAACCACCGGCAAAAATACTCTATCTGATGGGGAAGGCACGGACGAAATGTACAACAAAACGAATTCATCTCTTGCAAAATAAAAACAATCCTTCTCTCTCTATATTGCCGCACCTTGGTTTTTGATTTTTTTCGTACGATGACGCAACACACATATCCCCTCTGGTAACACTACCCGCAGCTACATAACGCACCATGCGAACGAACATACCACACCGCGCCGTCAGCATGCATACACATCAGCATCCATTACTACAACGTGCATGATCATCCATCGCATTCTGGCGCATGCGACAGTGTCGAGCGCCCCAGAACATCTCTCAGTCCTACGCAGTGCAGTAGCCTTCTCCACGGCCAAACACGTCTCGACGCAAGGGACAAACTGCCAGTCTCAGCGAGCCACGTCCCAAAACACAGAGCTGCCAATACTGGGAGATGAGTGACAATGTACTGAGAAGCAAATGGGTACTTGCGGTAGTTCACACACAACAAGGCAAAACCATGGTACTGTGGGAGTATGTGCTCTTCCTCGAATAATCCCGCGGGGCGTGGACGCACCAGAATCGGCAAACTCCCAGCACGTCCGTGCCTCAATCGGACCTGATGCTACAATATACGCTACTGCTGTCAACACTCCAGGTCGGCACGACATCAAGAATCTGGATCCCCGGGCGGGGGAGTGGTGCCCTGAACACACACCCCGCCCAGGAGCAACATATTTGCGAATACAACCACGACATGCAGAAGTCTGTCACCAAGAACTTCATCCCCTGGGTGCCTGTCCTTGAAATAATGAAGCACGAAGGGCCGTGGCGAAAAAACATTGATCTAGCAAGGAGCTTAGCTAATATTTCTCCATCGCGCCACTTGTTGTACGCGTTGCAGGCTCACGCCACGTTGGGATGCTGCACCATCCCGAGCCCGCTCCACGGTCGAGTTCTAAACCGTGCCTTCAAACAACACTCCAACAGACACCATTTGCATACCTGCTTCAAACGCCCGCCTCGTCAACGGTTGGTGCACCCAAGCGATCACGCATAGCTCTAAATTACACATCATCTTGCCGAACCACACAGCCGTTTCTTTCTACCCCCCCTCCTCGGTCAAACACTAGCTCCGCTGCCGCAACTGGCACCATCTTGGACCGACTACCTGCGCCGGAGATCTCGCTCCCTCACTCTAGGGAAGAGATGCACTTGTCGAACTGCCGGTTGCCAACGCGCGATAGAAATCGGGCAGCGTAGGGGTGTCAAGGTGCGCGTTTCGGAGCAAGGATGCATCTAGTCTAGGACTTCGGCTGAGTGGGCAAGTAGAAATTGTATGTATGTAGTCAAGAGTAACACGTTGAGGTACTCTCGTCTGAAACAAACGTGCTCCGCTCTGCAAAACCTTGCGCGTTCCGCCTCCTCCCGGAACGAGAAACCGTGGTGCCTCAGAGCACATGTGACACACAATATGGAAATCCGCTCCGGAGTCTACCTTCTAGAGAATCGCCCAGAAAAAAAAAAAAAGAAGCAGAAAACAGCAAGCAGAAACGACAGAAAATAGGGAAAAAATCGCACGTACGCATACAGTAGCAAGTACCACAGAAGTGTTTTGTGTTTTCAACCGCGCTAAGACTGACGTTTTTTCATTGGTCAGCCGCTTAGCGCGGTCGATGCCAAAAAAAAACACACACACACACATATGACTCGTGAGCCCTGACCTCTCCAAGGGCTTCGTCGATGTCCTCCATGGACGCCGCGTACGAAATCCGGATTCCTTTCGGGTAGCCGAAACCGTCCCCGGTCACCAAAGCCACGCTGTGCGCCCTGCGAAACAGGGTGGGTGGGCGGGCCGGAAGGAGGCACGAGGAACAAACGAGAGGGTGGAGGTCACACACTCTCGAGAGACGGAACACCTTGCGCGAAATTGGAAAAAAAAAACTCCGCCGAGTATTGGCCGACACACAAATGAACGCCACCTCCTGTAGACGACCAACCGTGCACGGGGAACACACGCACAGCCCGCGATCGCGATGCATGAGAGCTTTCGAAGCAAAAACATGGGAGGAAAGTGGGACGGGTGTTGCACGGCTCACCAGGGTTGTCTTGGTGGTAAGACCCATGTTTGTGGTGAGCAAAAAATTATCTTGTTTTCTTTATCTTTTTCGGCCTTTTGGGCAGTCTGCCTCCTGAACGAATGCGAATCAGCTGTTCAACCTTCGAGAATCGTCTCAGCTTCGGTTGAGATCTGTACAGATCACCTATTTGTTTCGCCAAGGTTCACGTTTGATTTTTCTCCAGCAGAGCAAGATGTGCAAAATTCGTCCAAGATTCGGCCGCAGAGCCACCTCGGAACAAATCTTGGGCCAAGACATGACTTTCAGCTGGTGTTGGGAAAAAAATTGCGTGAAGAGCTGACACGATTCTCGAAGGTCGAACAGCTGATTCGCATTCGTTCAGGAGGCAGACTGCCCAAAAGGCCGAAAAAGACACAAAAAAAAGACAAGATAATTTTTTGCTCACCATAAACATGGGTCTAAGAAATAAGAGGTTTGCCTCACACCCGAAGCAGTCACGCCAAGACAAGAAATTGGAGAGATTGACTGCGTCAGTTAAGCCCCTATCCTGCAGCCTATTGCGATCACCGTACTTGCGATACGGTACATTGTACTGAGTCTTGATGAGTGCGAGAAAACAGAACCGCCCTTGTTTGGCCCAGATGTTACAAAAACGAGCTCTTGGACGAAAGTTTTTCCGGTCCCCGAGCTGGATAGCACGTGGTAAGTTCTTCTCGAAACGTCAGAGAGAAAACAAAAAGTACCACACACACGCGCACGCACAGATGGGGAACCTCGCAGGCTACAAACACGTTTCGGGTGTGTTGGTCCCGCAATCTACGGGTCGATGGACAAGTCGCTACGGGCGGCTTGCAGCGCGGCCGACGCCATTAAACGGAACACATTGACATCGCAGACGTGCGAATAAGCGTGTTGCGCGAACATGCCCCGCTCCGTGTTAGGATTCATGCCTTCCTCATTTTCCAACCCGTTTTCGCGCGGACCATGCAAACCAAAGACCAGAAACAAACACTGACGAGTATCTGTGCAAGGAGATCTGTTTTAATTTGTACGAAACAAAATACAAAAAAAAAAAAAAAAAACACACACACACCCTCACGGGGTCCCAGATCATGGCGATTGAAGCATTCTGTGTTTTGAACCGCACTGAGACTGACGTATTTTCATTGGCAAGCCGGTAATAAGCGCGGTCGATGCTATCCATGAACACCCACACGCAGCAGTTTGCTTGGAAGGCAGCACACAGCCACAGCCATAGAGCACATCGCACCGCAACAAGTAGAGGCACAGGTCCGTGGCCCCTCCGATGGTCGTTCCGTCCGGCGCCGACTTTCCGAAGTGAGCGGACACGTCGGGGAAAACGTAGAACGCCCCCTCGGGAACAGCTGTCACGAGGTTGGGCATCTCCGACAGCCTCTTGAGTACGAAGTCGCGCTGCGACGCCAGGAGGTTACATGGAGGAAGGAAAAGCGCGGGGACAACAGAACCGAAACATCAAGCCAAGTGAATGGAGCGCAACCCCCCCCCAACAGCTGAGAAGGTGATTTCGCCGAGTGTAGCGGGGCAGCCGGTGCTTCGCGATGCTGCCGACATACCGATCCTACGCGCTCGACCAGTTTTTATTTTCTTTCTTTTCCGAGTAAATAAAAACCCTTCTTCGACATGACTAGATAGCTCGTCGCTGTGGTTCCGAGGGGTTTCGTCCAAATGGAGGGGGGCGGTTTTCAGTCTCCTGGCCAAGCGGAAGACAACCGGTCTTACCGCAAAGTTCTTCTCACGAAACCCAAAAATAATTGCATGTGACTAGAAATGTACCTGCCGAGGCACTACGGGAGGACCGGAGGGGAGTCGTGGTACAGTCGTCGCTCTTAGTCAGGCTTGACACCAAACTGCCAACAGAGTAGGGCACCACTCCTCAATGCCTCCTCCTGACAGTTGTGCGTCACGATGTTGCCTACAAGGATATATACCCCGAATACTGCATAATTTACCGAACAGATGTTACCGCTGAAGGGACGTTCGGAAACTACCCCTTGCTCGCGTTCCAGGGCACGACACCATCAACGCTCCTCAAACGACTTCGTTCAGAAAATGGCGAGAGGGACGGGGTCTAGACTGCATCCCTTAAATCTCTGGCCACTTCGCCGAACGGTGACAGGCCAGTCTTCTGCCCCCCCTTGCTAATGGCGTCAACGCCGAGTTCTATTGCCCCTTGCCCTATACACTCACACAGGGTGCTTTCCAACCCCGACTCAAATCACGTCCAACCTGTTTCAAGAAAACGTCCCCCGGCCACAACCAACTCGTTTGGGACATAGAGCGGGTGCAACAAGAACATTCGACCGGTCCCCCATCACCCAATGAGGTCGGGAAATTACCTTCTTGCGCATGACGTCGAAGCTGAGCTGCATCTCCCCGTCGGTAACGGCGAGGGCGGCGAGACCGGCGGCCTGCGATATCGAGCTCGCGCAGGACGTGATCTGCCCTTGGATAGTGGTAACCGCCTGGCCGTACGGCAACGGCAACGAAACAGCGCGGCACAACAAATATTCGTCAGGTTCGTCGCGGTAGCCGCCTGGCTGTACGGCAATCAAAGAGCGCAACTCACGATTTTCAGGGCTGCTGCGGCAAACGCATGGCCGTATTGCGACAAATAGCACAACGCATAGCTGTTGGGGGGACCACCTGGCCGCACGGCAAAAAGGCCGCACGGCAAAAAAAACAGCGCGAAACACTATATAACGTTCGTCAGGGGAGTTGCGGTAACTGCCCGGTTGCACGCAACAAGAGAGAGAGAGCGCAACAAGCGTTTTTCAGGGCTGCTTGAGGTAAACGCCTGGCTGCACTGCGACAAACAGCGCAACGCATGAATGATCGCTAGGGCTGTTGCGGTAACAAAACAGACCGACACGCGTTCGTCAGGGTTGTCGCAACGGGGCTTTCGTCGCACATTCGCGAGTCAGTTTTGCCGACGATAAGCTAATTAATTTGCTTCGCTTCGTTTGCGTGTGAGCAACACACCAGCCCTTCTTAGTGCGGTTCACAAGCGTTTCGCCTGAGGTTCCAAGCCGGGCATCCCAAACGCGCACATTCAGCGCAACAAGGGAGTCTCAATCAGCAACAACGCTACCACGTCCTCAAGTCGCAATGGCATCTGTTGTCGTACACCGCTGCTCGAAAGCCGATGCGGGGTCCCACGAATGTTTCAAGCCGTCACCTTAGTGATGATAGGGGGTGCCGCGAGATAACCCAGCCGGTACCCCGTCATCGCGTGCGACTTGGAGAACCCGTTAACCTGCGTATCGTACACATTTCGATGAAACGCAGTCGCCAAATCGGTGTCAACCCTTAGCAGTTGTCGCTGGCGAACAAGAACTGCTCGGTAAAGCCCCAACATTCACCATTGCAACCATCGGATCGTCCCGAACTCAGCATTGCAGCACTAACGCCATTTCACCGCCATCATAACTTCCAACAATGCAGAAACAACCCTCCACTGCCGCTACGAACAACAACGTCGCTTCTTAGCCACGCAACGGAAAATAGGCGTGACGTACTGTCATGGTGCGCTCGAACATCCCAGGGAGTGAGGCGAACGCCACGTGCGGCGTGTCGTACGTGATGCGCTCGTAGATCTCGTCCGCCAACACCCAGCAGCCCGCCCCCTTACCTCCTTCCTCCGACAGCACGGCCGCGAGTTCTTCGCAACGTTCCTTCGGGAGGGGTCGGAAAGAGAGGCCGGGGCGGGGAGGTCGGCAACATGAAGGTCATTGCGTACAGTGCGCCCGCGACTAAGAAACGAGCATTTAAGAAACAACGGCTCAGATTTCGCCGACGGTGAGAAAACTCAAACTAAGACACACACCTCAGCCGTGGATCTTGCACGAAACTATGCATATGTAATGACCAATGCTCGACGGTGGCAACCGGAATAAGAAATTGAGCCTAGTTCGACGTTTCTTTATCGAGGGCGCTATTTTGTTACCACTGTACTAGCATTTGGGCCTGAGGCCCCTGTTGTTGTTGTTGTTGTTGTTGTTGTTTATATCACATCAAGAAACCGGTCTTGTTGTTTTCACAGTAAGAAACCGGTCTCCGCTCAATATTTATCTGCTAATATCCGTAGTGGTCCAACTGACGCGAACGCGTTCCGTGGTCACAATACAAATAGACCGGAAGAATATCAACTTATACTATAATACTAGGAGAGGTATGAGAAAGCCCCACTGAGGGTGCACAGAAAAATGAGGAGGGGGGGGTCAAGGAGGTAAGGATCGGCGTGAGCGTGGAACGCTTCGTGCTGTGCTTCATGAGCTTGTTCTTCTGGTGGCGCTCCGTCCGTCCAGCAGGACCTCTATTAATGGCTTTTGGCAAGGGCACGAGGTTGTCACACCCGACGACGATCGTAAAAAACACGCGGAAAACCGAAAACACGAGAGACTTTCGTGAAACAAGCAGCGTCAGCCGGCAGCAGCGGCAACATTTTCCCCACAACGTACATACCAACGACGAAAACGCCCGTCAGAACGAAGGCCGTCGAGACGAAGTCTTAAAGACGAATTTAATGTTAATCGGTGCGTGAACATAGAGCCCAAAGGTGACCGTTACTCTAGACGGCAAAGGCCGCTCGCTCGCGCCGCACCTTCGAGTGCACCGCTCCCGTGGGGTTGCTGGGGTTGCAGAATATGAGCATGCGCGTCTTGTCCGTTAACGCGCCCCTGAGCTTCTCCGCCGTCAACAAAAACTCCTCCTGCACGAGAGACGGAGACGAACGACAGCGGGTGCACCGAATGGCGCGAGGCTGGGCAATTGGAGAAAGAGGCAATGGGCGCCGAAGGCGGGCAGTGCAACTGACACGACAGCTACGGGCCAATGAGCTGCTTTCGTTGCGCGGAAAGATGACGTACTAAAAAAAAGAAACTTGGGGTGAAGGTGGTTCGAAGGCGGCTAGTGCAACTGATACGACAGCTACAGAGTGCGGCCAAAGCACTGATTTCGTTGTGCGGCGAACCAAGTGACAGGAAGAAGCAAACAACTTCGTTTTCGGTTAGAGACGCGGTGTCGGCAGTCATCGACAAGGCAAACCAGCAACCGCGTACAACTGCCCCCGCGCGTTTTACTTTACCTCGACATTGGTCTCAAGAATCACGGGCACCCCTCCTGCCAGCCGGACCATCTGCCGGCACGGAAAAAAAGAACAGACATCGTGCAGGGGCACGGAGTAAATACTTCGTGACCGACACTGAACTCCTCGTCGACATGCCTTTCTGCGACTGCTATCCAGAGACCGGGCAGAGAGAAACAGAGACACAAACAGAGAGCAAATGAAATGCATGAGTCGGTTCGAATGGTTCACTTCCATACTTTGCTGCCGCGTACATGTGCAAGACATGTTAAGATTGCTTGGAAAGATCGTGAGCGTTTACTCAAGGGACTTGGCAACGTAGGCTGCGATTCGTTTACGGGCGGGGTGTAACTGAGTCAGGCAGAAGAGCGCGCCGGGACTTCGCCGGCCCACAATGCTCTACACCTGACCCACGGGGTGCATATTTTCGCACCGTAGGGCACACTCCAAAGCCCTCGCGAACCTCCACTATGACCCCTGCTGTTGTCCATTTTTTTCTGGCCACATATACAAACAAGAGTCTCCGCCAAACACACCAAAACATCCCGCTCTGCTTCGAAACTACCTCGGAGCCAACAGTCACAGCAGTAACTTTGCCCCGCAACACCATTCCCAACAGCCTCTGTCTGGCAAGGCCCGAGCACGGCAGCGAAAAACAACAAAAACTGCGGTCTAAATCACCTCGGGGTAGCTGGGCCAGTAAGGAGCGGGCACGATGACCTCATCCCCCGGTCGCACCACCGCCAAGACAGCCTGGTACACGGCCTGCTTAGCCCCGTTGGCGACGACGATGTCTCCCTGGGAGTACGTCAGATTCTAACATCGCACGAACCGGCGCGGGGAGGGGACGATTGTTGGGGGGGGGGGGGGCGACGTAGGGTGAACGCGGGGTCCACTCGAAAAAGGCGGCGCAACTGAGCGACTCAACGAAAAGGGAAACAGTCTCTGTGCGGCCGAGAACGAAAAACCGATTCGGGTACGCTTGGTATATACTGGTGTCTCTGCCGCAGTCCTCCTGGGCACTGATATTCGCCGTCTTCCTCCTGGGCACTAATATTCGCCGTCTTCCTCCTGGGCACTAATATTCGCCGTCTTCCTCCTGGGCACTAATATTCGCCGTCTGCCTCCGGCAACAAAAACCAAGCCACCCCCCTCCAAACGAACCGGCACTCGTCCGCACCGCCAGCACTGCCGTCAGCAATCACCGCACTGTTGTAACCACTGCCGAGGCGGCGGCGCCGGCTTACCTTTCGCCTTGCGAGGTCCGCGCAGATCGCTCGCCGCAGGCCCACCGTTCCCGTCACCCCGGTGTACTTGGTCACCCCCTGACCAATCAGAGCACGAGAACAGAAGGGGGGGAGGATACGGCTATTATCCTTGTCGTCTCTTTCAATTGAGAGCAACAAATGCGCGTCCCCCGTACCTCCCGTGCAGAAGATTGTGACGAAAAGAACAAAATCTCTTGAAAGACGGGAAACAACTCCGATGCACCACCCCAAACATACACAAGAGTGCCTGCAGGTAGGTGCCTCAAGCCGAATACTGCTGTATTCCTCTCACGATAACACTCTCAGCAGTGGGTGGGCGGGAGGGGTATCTTTGTTGAACCTATCAAGTACTTGACTACGAATGTCTTCACGTTTTGGGCTAATATTTAGCGTCAAAATTACCATCACCGGGTGTGGTACTCCATGGGGGGGGGTGTTGTATGTTTGTGGGGGCTGTTATCTTGTGTCATGCTGGAAATCCCCACGTCCCTCCTATTCTGAGCGTGGTGTCTGTCTACTATGAGCGTGTACTGTATCTTGTGTGATATACACAGTACGCCCGCGTCCCTCCTTTTCCACCGCAAGAGCCTCGACCTTAGGCATACGTGCACTAATCGGGGCGGGGGCCAGTACCAGGGGCACTGGTTCACCGCCAAGCGTTTACCCCCCAAACGGGGGATCAACAAATTTGGTAATTTTCACGTGAGGAGAGGAAAGCAGAGCAAAGGTAGAGCCAGAGGCAGAGGAGGGGCGAGGGGGGCGGGCGTACTCATGTCTTGCTTGCCGTAGGGGGAGACACCCTTCACATGCACTCTGCGTACGTACGTCGCGGGGAGTGGCCATGCCCATAACCAGGACAGAGCGCCTACTGAAACAACTGACCTCTCTCGCAGCAGTCGCCGTCGCCTCGATGACTGCGTCCGGCGGCTGAAAGTCCGGCTCCCCCACGCACAGGGACACCACCTTCTCCCCCCGAGCCTTCATCTCCTGAGTCAGCGCGTGCACCTGGAGGAAAGGCAAAAAACGGTTCGGCCTCACAAAAATCAGCCCAAATGTCAGACTCGCACGTGCCTTGTAAACTCTCTCTCTCTCTCTCTCTCTCTCTCTCTCTCTCTGGTGGTATCGGTGGTGGTGGTGGTGGCGCTTGCTGTTGTCCCTACAGAGATTTCTCCGCATTTCTCCCCACATTTCCTCTAGAAGCACAAGCCTAATTTCACTCGTTGTCCGTTTCTTTGGGGGTAACGTCTGTTCTTTCGGCGCCGCTACATGTCAATCGCCCCGGATCAGTGCCATAATTCTACCGCCACCCTATCTGGAAACCTCAACTTGTCGTGGCATCCTTCATAGCTCCGATTGTGCTGTAGCGGGACAGCAACGGGTAGTTGCCTCGAAACAAACCTCCAATGTCTTCGACGGGGAAACCGTCTTGACCATCGGGCTGATGCTCTCATCCGAGTTGAAAGGGTTGTCCCTCGCGGGAGCACAAGCCTCGGCCGGCGCCTCGCCGCCTGCGGTCACCCCTGCCGTCATGCCGCCCCCGCCTCCGCGATGTGCACCCTTTGCAGTTGCCGCTGGCAGTACTACAAATCCTGTGAGACACGCATGGACCGTCGTTTCGGGAAACGAAAGCGGGGGAGGAGGAGAAAATGCAGTGCCGGGCGGGGAAACGCATGCCTTGTAGTCGTTAGACCGTTGACCTTGCATCCTTGCAATGTCGGGACGGAGCGATAGGCCGGGTTATTGTCGGGCCACGCTACGTTTCACAAGGATGCACCAGAAGCTGCCCATCACGCTCGCGTTTGCTGTGCCAAACCAGATGCATGCCACGGGTTGATTCGGCATCCGGGGGGTACTCGATTCCATGCAGCAAGACCTGGAAACTGGGCACGCGTGAAAGTATTCCTCTTGGTGTGGGTACGAAGCATTTGGATCCCAGCTGACGAAATGAAATTAAGCCGGGGAGCGGCCTAATGAGTGAAACGAGGAAATGCGGGTAGTTGCACACACGATCACGTGCATGAAGACAAGTGTCACGGACGCACGGCAACGGCCCTCTCCGCCGGAGGAGGTGAAAAGAGAGTCCCGGCACCGTTAGGTTAAGGTCCATCCCACTGAACGGGCTCGTGGGTAACGCCGGATAAACCTTTGCTAATATGCATACATCGGTACACATCTACTCGAAGGAAATCGATTGACCCGCTGATGATTCTCACTACTATCGACCGAATCATAGATTCCTCCGAGCGCGGAAAAACATTGGCCACCCCACAGGCGTTGTAAGCAATGCGTGCGATGTGCTGCAGAGTAGAGTCGAGCGGACAAAGAGGGGAGGTGGGCCGGAGCTGGAAGAAGCAGCTCACAGTCCAGTAATAACTCATCCCCAACCATGTGTCTGGAACCAGCAGGAGACACGGGGAGTTGTCCGCGTTCGTGGAGAGGAGGATCCTCCGCCTCTCTGTCCGATGCAACGATGTCGAGACGGGGCAACAACGAGAGAGGGAGACCTTGCCCCACCAAAAGAGGATCCCCAAATCTACCATAGGTCTTGTGTTGTGGACACACGGCAGCACGTGACCTTGGTGGGAGAGGAATGGCACGTGCCCTCTCAACCGCAAGAGAGTTATATCAGTATCAAGCACCGACATATATCATACCCGACGACACCTGGATCTACCCGACGTGACGGTACAGCAGCAGCGGAAAACTGCTGTGGTTTCCTTGGTGGTTTGGTTTCTTTTACAAAAAAAAATACGCCGCCTTTTAGGTAGCAGGTGCGTCTGCTGGCTGTATCATACGCGCTAGGTTCGCATCGCCAACAAGAAAGGTTCGATGTCGGCATATACACAACAGCAGTAGTACCCACTGAATCTTTGCCTTTCGCAAAAGCACTGCTGTTGTGTCGGCTTGATACTCCAGCTGTCGAGGTGGCAATGTGCCTTCAGGGTACATAGGTTATCAATTGAGTTTGAGAGCGGGCGAACATCCAACAGCCAAACTGAGAGGCGCAGGCGCCACCGAGCGCCCTGTGGGGTATAACGGAAGGTAGTGCAGGGCAGCCAAGCCCGAGAGAGGGGGGGATAGTAGGGCACAACGAGACGCAAGAGAGGCAACCGCAGGAATAGACAAGACCCCACCGTTAGCCCTTGCCCCTCCCTCCTAGCCGAGAACAACAGCGACTCGCAAAGCACGCAAACAGATTGATGGCAGCGAGAATGCTCACGGCAGTCTCTCGCACCTCAAGAGGTGTCCACGCTCACCTTTCGCTGATATCGCCAACTGGAATAGCCGCAAAATTAAGGATAGAGTCCACAAGTGGTTCATGGGGGGAGGTGGCCGGAAGACGGGAAGAAGGCTCTCAAGTCAAGGTTCAACACAACATCAATCAATCAATCAGTCAATCATGTTGAGCGATCGTTCGGAGATGCATCCGCGGGGGGGGGGCATCGTAGAATCATCGCGGGGTATTGCATCGTGCTTGCTAGGATCTCCGAATGTACACAGACGGCACAGCGATCACTGCTGCTGCACGGGCCGAGAGAGAGAGAGAGCGTCATGAGTGGAAATGGGCCGACGCACGTCCACTTTCAGACCTCCGTGGTGAGAACCACCCGCTTTACGGTCGTGTGTTGTTCTTACGACGCACAGCAGTGAGGATGTCAGGAGAAATTTTGAAGGATCGTCCGCTCTGGAGCTAGCACCCCCCCACAGTTCCTTGCGGTCCTGCGGGCTCTTGCAATATGATGACAGCACTGCCTAATGCGCACTCGAGGTGTACGCGACCAGCTCGCAGACCAGCGGCTACGTTTGGTATTGCTCTGTTCTCCTTCCGTACTATGCCCTTGATCTCTCATCCCCGCCCGCCCACCGGATTGAACGCAAGTTGTGCTTCCCGTAGGAGACATGACGTAAGATACCGTACCCCCGGGATCGATGTTCGAAGCCCGACTTTGTAAGTACGTTATGACGACAAAGAGGATGTGTGGATCAGGCGATATAGTTTCGGAGAGCTCTCGAAGAGACGGTTCCAATGCCTTCATTTTCACCACAGCCACTATTTCTGCTGTGTGGAGAGTCGAGCTTTGACAATCAATCCAGGGGGGGTGATATATCGTGTCATCTGCTGCTGTAGCGGTATGCACACGAGCCTGCTGCGGGCGCCCAGAAGTAGACAACACTACATAGCGGGGAAAGAGCGCTCCCTTCTGGTGATGGATGTTACTACTAATATGTTTCTACTACTGCACGACGGATATCCGCCACGCTGCGTGTACGGTAACAACGCCACTGCTGTTAAAACTATTTGCAGACTTCCCTCGCAAGCAGCAGCAGAGCTTGCTTGTAATGTGTCCCTTTAATAGCCCTCCTCTGCCGCACCCATCACCCCCCCATTTTTCGTGTTGCCCCCCCGACATTCCCGCCTTATCCCTCCCCCTTTTGGGGGGGTTCTTTTTTTTTCGGCGTTCACGACGACAGGGGAGCTTCACGGTCGAGCTGTACTCACAGCACGCCCCCAAGTCGTGCCACAACATGGGAGAGCTAGCACGAAGAGGGTGAGCCGGAGGGGTCGGGAGGGAGTTCGGGTGCGCGTTTGGAAGATTCACCGACCGTTCGTTTTGGTTGAAGATGATTTACCTGAAACCGCATATGTGTTAGGCGGACGAGCAGTACAACAGCCGTAGCTCACATGTGGTGGAAGCAGGTGACCACGCGATGTCCGGATGCAGACAGAAAAACGAGCTGCACTCGACGCAGACTCCGATACGCTCGACAGCAGTAGCAGCATTCCGACCGTTTTTCTCTCCTTGTCTCTGTCTGTCTGTCGCTACACAGCAATAGATGAGACGAGTTCTAGTAGCGGCTCCGGGTCACGTGATCTACATGCTCGGCAGTATTCATGCTCGCACGTCTGTTGTACCGACGGATTAGAGTTGTGTAAAGACATTCATGTGTATCAATCACATCGTCTTGCGTCTCACGTTTTTTTGGGATTGGTGTCGAGGTGGCACATGCTCCGGTTAGCTCCGTTGACTCTCGTGGTGCACGCCCTGCCGTAGGACGGCCGATACAAAACGCCTTCTTCAGTACCCTAATCAAGCACACGACCCGAGCCCATGACTCGACAACACACGCACACAGGTAGGTATGCAACGACTCGCCAATCACCGCGAGCATGATGACCCTGTAGAGCCAACCGGTACCTTGCTCTTCCACCGCCGTACCCCGCTGTTTGCCTCAGCTATTACGACAACACCATCTTCCACCGAGTGATCAAAGACTTCATGGTGCAGGGGGGAGACCCCACTGGGACGGGACGGGGGGGAGAGTCCAGTTTCGGAGGGAAGTTCGAGGACGAGATTCGGCGAGACCTCAAGCACACGGGAGCGGGCGTCGTTTCCATGGCCAACTCCGGACCGAACACGAACGGCTCTCAGGTACGTGTGTGTGTGTGCGTGCTTCTTGAATTGGTATTGACCGCTCTATCGGGCTGGCCGATGAAAATACGGTTATGGCGGATATGTTTGTGTGTGCGTCTCGGTGCATGTTTTGGTTTGCGCCGACAGCGCTGATCGCCATGAGAAGACGTCAGCCTTGAGGGGGATGACGGAAAACGACATTCGTTTCTCCTCGGCAGTTTTGCGTGTGTGTCTTGTGGTTGGCATCTATCGTACAAACTGGCTGGCGAACGCCATGGGTCAGTCTCAGCGTTGTATGAGAGTGTGTGTGTTTTTTTCATTCGCGTCTTGACAACGCTGCTGCCTGGCCGACTGCAGAAAAACACGTTAGCCTTGGGCGGGACGAAACCTAACTATGGCAAGGCCGCTTGTCCAACGATGGTGTGTGCATCATTCCTTTAGTTGGCGTTTCCCGCGCTACCTGGCGTAGCACTGGCATCACGCCAGTCCGAGCGGAACACATAGGGGGCGTGCGTGCACGTTGTTTTCTGGTCGGGTGGCACGCGTGTGTCTGTGTGTGTCTTTATTGTTAGCATCGACCGCGCTAACCGACTGACCAATGAAAAAACGTCAGTCTCAGTGCGGTTGAAACCACAAACACCTCTAAATGACATTGACTGGGACCCCATGAGGGCTGAGGGGCGGCACGTGTGTGTGTGTGTGTGTGTGTGTGTGTGTGTGTTGTTTTTATTTCTTTTGCAAGTTCATGGAGACCATATTTGTTGCGTACAGTATGGTGGCGTGGCCAACACCAGGACGTCCGCCCTAGCCATGGTTGTCGTGCGAAAGCCAAAACGTGTCATAAAGCGCACGCCCGACTCTTGCAAGGTTGATTCACAGGGCTGGCGTTTTTCATCCTCCACAATTCAGCGGAATTTTTCAACCTTAGACCCTAGACTGCCTCCGTAGACTACTATAATAGGTACTTTTGCTTGTTCGTGGGGTTTTGACCTATAATAGTCAATGACAGTCTTTCGGTCCGGTAACAGGCCTACACCACTGCGGTGCCCTCTTTGTGGCGAGAACGTCTTCGATGTGGCGCCGCCGGTTCGCTCGTCCGGCATGTCTGCCGCACCCATGAATTTTCAGCAGCCCTTGCCTACCCCCGGCTCCGCAAGTGGGTGTTGCTCTGCGCGATGTGCCGCAAGCACGTTACCAGTTGAAAACTGTCATCATTTTTTGTGCGCTTGCTGCCAGCATGAGAGTATCGCACCGCACCATGTGCCGCCAACTCCTCACCAGTAGAAACCTGCGGTCGTTTTGTTTGCTCTTTGTCTCCTGCTGCCTTCGTTTGTTTTCTTCCAGTTCTTTGTGACCCTGGGACCAACGCCGTGGCTTGACGGAAAGCACACCATTCTAGGTCGAATCTCGTCGGGCATGAAGGTAAGCGGTAAAGCGGCAAAATATAGCGGAGGCGTGTTTGTTCAAGCGTACTTGTTGTCGACTATTTCCACGGTTGGAACCAACAAGGTCACTTGGCTATCAGCGGCACATCTGTAAACCACGACGATAAGCGTGAAACACCCGGTAGTCGATTGCTTCTCACCAATATCATATCCACGAAAGCCGCACTAAAACCGGCTGGATTTTCCAACGCTTAAGTAGACCAGTTTGTTCAGGTGCCTCGAAGTAGATGACTGGTACAAAGGATAAAAGGAACTCAATGTGGCGTCCGCGAACGTTCGAGATGTACGAGTGGCGGAGATGATGACGTGTTGAATTGTTTTTTCTTTCTTGGAGACTGCTGTTCGTTTCATGCTCTGGCACGATCGCCGTCTCGTTCGCGTGTGAGTCGCACGCTGTAGCCACATGTAGAGGTATTCAACCGTGATCAATCCCCGGCATCGCGGAAAGGCCGTAACTGCCTGAGGGTGTGTGTGTCACCTCTCAGGCAGACGGGTACACCGCACTGCCGCGAATCTCTGGTCTCGACAAGTGTTTTGCTCGGGAGAGCTTTCCCGGGACGTGTACCGCACTCCACCCTCGGCACCGGCATGGTATCCCATCCGAGCTCGTAGAATGCCTGTTTTTTTTTGTGTCCTCTGCTTTTCTTAATTATGGCTGTCGGGCCTAACTAGCCCTTTGTGAGTTTCCTCATACCGGGTGTGCAAAATTTTCGCGTGTTTCCTCCCCCTCGCGGTTTCTATCGTACGCGTTGTCCGGCGGTACCACCGCAGGTGGTGCGGCGGATGGGAATGGTGGCCGTGAACTCGGAGGACAAGCCCCTGCAGGACATGCGGATAGTCCGCGCGAAACCCCTGGTGCTTGCGCCGGGGGAGGACGGGCCAGGGGAGCAATGAAGCCACGCCTGCGCCACACTACGTATTTATTCAAAGACGGCTGTGTTTAGCAACAGTAACTAGCGCCAAGGATTGTTTGAACTGGCAACGAGTGTATCGCGGAAGTTTTGGCGGGGGGGTGCCTGTTAATCGGTGTGAACACTGATACGGCACGCTTTTTGGCGTCAGCTGTAGATACGAGCGTTTGGTCCGCTGGTTGTGGGGTACGAGACACAGGAGGTGATATTGAAGCACGTTAATTTTTTCCAAGCAGATTTTTTTTTATGTTGGGACAAGAGGTAGCTTGTGTAAGATGCCCACAAACACCTGGTTCTCAAGAGGTTGTGGGTCCCGGGTAACCTGCTACCTGTTCTGGTGTGATGTGAGGATTGGGAGCGTAGACTATTGGTGCCTCCGTTAAAGCTGTTGGACTACAGAGATCTTTGTATCTTTTCTCTCTCAACACCCAAGAAAAGTTTCCTTCTCGCATGAGCGGGCACCAGCGAGGGTGGGTATCATCCGCACGGAATATGGGCGTCAGTGCTGTGCCGAAGAGGTCACGCCATATAAACCCATACTTTTTTGTTGCGCAAATATAGTCTAAGGCATCGACATCGCAGAGGCGGGGCAGCACACCGGGAAATTCATCGTCCTCTGTGTCGTACGCCCCCATTATACCTCGTGAGGACTGCTGGCAGCTTTTGGCTGTCTCAGGTCGGCAGTCCTCCGCTCCTCGGTGGTACAGCACCTGAAACCTGTCCCCCGAGGAGTCGCATTTCTTGAACCTTCACGGAATATTTTGCCAGCCACCCCATATCAGTGCCGCTTTGCACGTGTTCTGGTTCAACCAGAACCAGATCCCGCGCGTCTTCCTTGGACACTTGACAACAAACGTTTGTGGATAAATAGTAGATACCTGGCTGGGTGTTGGGATGGATGTGGTGGAAAATGCAAGGCCGAACAGCAGTTTTCGTCATTTGCTGGAGCATTCGCCGCTGCTGCTGGAGTGAGTTTGGGAGTATGTACATACATGCCACCTCCCCATTTCTCGGTGTTGAACAAGATGCATGTGCATGCTGTCATCCTATCGAACATATCCACCCACATGGATGCCGTACTCTACAACATTGAAGGCGTGTACGGCAGTACACGTCACCACGAAAAATGGGGGGAATGTTGTGGCCACAAGATATAGGACGAAAAACAACAACAACAACAATACCTTGGAAAGTGGTCAACATGCTGCTTGTCATCGACATCATTTCACAAGAGGTGTTCATGAGAAGCATCAAGAGATACAGCAGTGTACATACAGCTGTAGATAGGAGGCAGCCGCAGGGACCCCGAAGCGGAGCAGCAACCGGGGCTCTGCTGTCAGGGATTATTCCGTTTTCCAAAAGATTCGTTTCTATGATTTGCGGTAGAACTTCGTACCCTCCTTCCACGTCACCCCGCGGAATGTTCGGGGTCCTCATGTTTTGTGCTGCGGCTGGATCCCGCCTCCCTCGTTGCACCCTCTCACCCCATCACACTCATTCTCCACCTCTCACTCTCCCTTATTTCCCGACTTCATCCTGAGCACTTCACGCAACAAGGTCCTGCTGTTGATCGCGAGTCTTTCTGGGGCGTGAGTGAGAGAGCGCACGGCGTGGGCCAAGGAACTGCTGTTGTTGTTCTTCTTGTGAGCCAAAGGGAGCAATCTTGTCATCATCTTCGTGTCCAACTCGTCATCATGACTCGAGCGCACGCTTTTGTCGCGGCTTTCCTTCCGGTAGTGTCCGCGGCGGTCTTCACCGGTTCATCTTGGCCTGCTGGAGACACCGCTGGTAAGCACAGCTACTGGAGACCTAAGACTGCTGTTCGCCCAAAAGGCTGCTGTTGTGTGTTGTTTCATTTGTTGGTTGCGCGACGGTCGTTGGGTTCCAAATTCCAAAAATTGCCGTTGATGATCGATCGGGGAGACTACGGTGTCGTTTCGCCTCTGCGGTACTTTTACACTGCTGTGATGCAGTCATCCAGCTGACAGACTCCAGCCGGTAGAGTCTCATCCAGCTGCCAAGAAGTCTTGTCAGTGGCGAAGCAGAGGGGGCGCTGAGTTTGGTAGCTGGTGTTGCTCATCGTGTGGTGCTGCAAAGTTGTGTTGTTGTGCTTGACTCGGCATCATTTTTGCTGGCAACCTGGGGTCCCTGAGAGGTGACATGCAACAACAGCAGTCTCTGCTGTGTGGTGACCGCTGTGTATTTCATTAGGTACTGGAGCACAGCAGCAGTCTGTTGATGTAGAACAAACACAGCAGGTCTTTGGTATCCCACTCCCACGATAAGGTGCTGGCACGTTGTTGCTATTGCCCACTGCTGCCGTGTCGATCGCGGGATCTCTCCTGCGGTTGTTCTGCAGCAGCACGCTGCATTTGGCTGTAGGGGCGGACTCCACTGCTGTGCTGCAGACCCAGGAGTGAGTATGTCGTCGACATATACATACATAGGTTTGTTTGGAGGCGGCTACCTCTTCACATCAGGTCTAGTGAAGAAAATCGTACGCATGCGTGGAGTAAGCCTCAAACGCGAGCCTGCCTCTCTCGACGCTGCTGTTTCGATGACGAAGGGCGCGCGCTACTCCATTGCACGACCCTCAGAAGCACGATTGACATTGCAGGCTAATCTCCCCCCCCCCCGCCGCGTTCCGTGTGTTCTCAATTTTTAACGGCAGACGTCGTGCAGAGGCAAAGGGTTTCCAGCCTTCGCGGAAGCAGGAGACGAACCACCTCAGAGGTAAGACAACTGCAATATTTGCACCGCAGCGGCGACAATAGAACACTTTCACCACTACGGCGGTACTTCGTACTGCTGTGTTGGACATGGAGGCGAGCAGTGTAGTACTGCTGTAGTCTAGAGCTACAGTGTTTGCTGTGAGGTCTACGGTGCAGTACCTGTTCCATTGTTCCCACCAGATTCAATTTTCCTGCTTTATAACCTTCGTCTGCCGACTTGACCCATGTTTCCTCTATCGCAGCCGCCGACTCCGCCGGCCATGTGCAGCAGCATCGGATGCCCCGACGGCTACATCCCCATCCCCGACCACGACACCACCGAGTGTCCCGGCGGCGACTGCACGGTGGAAGCGTGCTGCGAGGCCATGTGCGCGGGATACGGGTGCCCGCACCACTACCTGCCGATCGAAAGCGAGGCCCAAGAGCTTTGCCACGGAGGCGTCTGCACCACGGAGCAGTGCTGCGAACCGGGTGCGTGACGGTTTCGTCGTTCACATCCAAGTCGTGGATGTTTGGCTACATCAAGTTTTTCCTGGGCACCAACATGTTCTTGGGGCGTGTCGACGTGGTCTATTGCGGGTCAAAAAGCATTCATGATTGTCCTGACCCCGTCAAGACCCAAGTGCACATTCTCTTGTCATGTGTGCAGTGCAGATACCTTGCCCTCGACGTCAGGTGCCGTACATATTCTTGATATTCTATGACAACTCTATACTCCTCTCCCGCCCACCGATCACCGCAACCTAACAGGATCCCCCCCCCCCTGCCCCCCCGTATGACTCGCAGCCCGCCCGACGTGCAGCAGCATCGGATGCCCTGACGGCTACACCCCCATCCCCGAACACTACGCCACCGAGTGCCCCGACCGCGATTGCACGGTGGAAGTGTGCTGCGAGGCCATGTGCGCGGGATACGGGTGCCCGAACAACTACACCCCGATCGTAAGCGAGTCGCACGAGCTCTGCCACGGCGGTATCTGCACCACGGAGCAGTGCTGCGAGACAGGTGCGTATTATTCTCTATTGCGGGTCAAAAGCCAACTCGTGTTCGAATCAAGCATTCATGAGCCAGTGTTATGATATTGGACCCCTTCCTTCAGAATCAATCACCTTCATACTGTGTGGAACTCTCTTGTCCGGCCACAGGAACAGGTCGTTGTTGCTTTCCGTTGTTCTCTTTCTCTTGATTAGCGCTTTCCAAGCCATCTCACAATATCCCACGCAAACACGATCAGGGATCGTCTGCACGCACACTGAACAGAAGGGTACATGCCTCGGCATAAAGCCCGAATCTAGCATGACGTCACGCCTTAGAATCCGACGGCGCCAAATAACCATGGTCACACATGTCTACCTCCAAATACCATAACACTATTGTCCTGACCCCGACAAAAGAACCAAGTACACATTCTCTGCCATGTGCGCAGTGCAGATACCTTGCCGTCGACGTCAGGTGCTACATCCATTCTTGATATTTCCTCCTCTCCGCCATCCGCACAACAACGGTAGAGGTTATGGAGGACCAACCAAACCAAATTTCTGTAGTTAACGTCATGAACACGCACACGTTGTGCGTGTTTCCATATTTTTGCCTAAGCTCACATTTCCACCTGTCTCACTCAAACAGCACATGTACGTTTTGTCTCACTCTTATCAACATCAGTCTCGTTCGCGTCCTTACATACATCGTAGATGAAGGCGTAAAAAAAAAAAATTCTTGTGTGTGGGGGTTATCATATCAATCTTTTCCTGCGCTCATCATGTTTCCATCCACCTGTCTCACTCAACCGACACGCCGTTCAACTCACTCAGGCGCCGCCACGCCTGCGGAGCCCGACTACGACACCTGCTCGTCCGTCCAGTGCCCCAGCGAGACCCACCGCCCCATCGAAGGCGCCGAAGAGAAGACGTGCAGGACCGCCGATCTCATGGCGCCGACACCCGCTCCGCGTGACGGGGGCGGCAGCTACGCGTTCGATTACGAGTTCTCCTCGGATGAATGGGACGACTATGTGGCGGGATACAGCTATTACTTTGGCTACGGCACGGGGGAGGAGGGCGGCAAGGCGTTGGACGGGGGGAGCCACTTGGACGGAGCGGAGGAGTACTGCGACCTCAGCACTTGCTGCGAGGAGAAAGAGTGTGAGTTCACGTTCACCTGTTGGGTCTACTGTAGATTGCGGCTGGTTGTGATCCGTCAAGAATATTACCGAACTTGGTCGGCACTCCCTTACAGTAGGCCAGTGTTCTTCCCCAAGGGAAAAACGGTCCGATCCCCCAAGGGAAACACAGTCCGATCGCTGCTGTTACCGTAACCCGCAAGAAATTACATGCGTAAGCTATGCCACGCCCTCCGCATGCTGCACACCTTTACCCTAGAACTTATTCCTGCCTCTTGCCCCCTTATTCGTTCGTCCCGTGCAGACGGCCTTTGGGGTCTCGAGTGAGAGTCGAACGCTTCATCCGAAGTCATAAGATGAAAGACAACACCGCGCAAGTGTCCCGAGACGGGTTCGTCCAGCCCGAACGGTCATCTCTGGCTACCGGAAGCTGACAAAATGGAGCTCCACCGACGGACGCTGTACGGACGCGACGTTTACGTCACGTGTAGCTTTCGCGGCTATATTCTACCATTGCGCCATCCCTTTGAGATGGTGTTTCTGACGGGCTTTCTTTGTCATAAGTTCAGGCCGGCGTTCTTTTTTGGCCGGTGTCTTCCGGTGGTGTCGGTTGGGGACGTTGATCTCGTCGCATTTGTTGTCTTTACTCGTTCAGTCTGGGAATAGCTTCACTGCTGTTGCGCGCAAAGAAGACCACCTATTGACCTACCTACGCCAGAGGGTCAAGCCGGGTGTGTCTGTTGTAAGTGACGAATATGTGCGTGAGGTATGCATTCGTAAGTGTAAGAACCTGGGAGGGGGGGGGGGGGTTGCGTGTCAACTGGGGGGTGGGGGCGTATTTCGTGTGGTCCTTCCTTGTTCATGCAGGCCAAAATTGTTTTTATGTACACAAGTATCGTACCATTCACAATCGCCGTGGTATCGGTATTAAACTGCATGGTACGAGCAGATTTGTCGCTAGTGCTGTTCTCGATGTGTGTTTCTTGGTGTTCTCGACGTTTGTTTCGATGTTTGTTGCTGTTGTAGTTGCTCTGCCATGGTTTCCGATTTTGGGAAAAGACTATTGCACCTTGGACCATACCCGTGTACAAGCTCTTCCTCCCTTTACTTGATCGGCCTTAGGCGTCGTATTGCAGATAGTTGTCTAGCGTCTCTGAAGCTAGCTATGTTGCCAAACCAGCCAGCGTGAAACGAGCCATTGATGTACATGGTGTACGTGGTGCTCTGTATGCCGGGTACATCATTGAGTGTGTAATTGCCTTCGTTGGAATCGGGAATCGATTGGTGGTGGGGTGGCCTGGGGTAGACTTTTTTTGTAAGGCGTAAGAAGAATTTTTGGATTGGGTGCCGTCTCCTTGAAGGTGCTGCTTTGTTCAAATGTAGAAAACCTGTCTCGTACGAAAGAAAATTGAACTACAGAAACAACGTTTCAACATAAGAACTTCGGCCGTTCGCAACGCACGCACGCACGCACACATTTGTCTGAATACGTTGCACGATCGAACCGCTAACGGCCAATGATTGGGGTGCGTCTCCTGCTACAAAACAAAGCCGCCAACCTAAGATGTCAGCCAGCAGTAGCCAGGCAATGGACATACATGCTGTCAGGCACCCGACATGGATGGACGTATTTTTCCCGGTCCGACAAGTCAAGAGAGACAATGAGCATTCCAAGCTCCACGAATTTATGGGACTGCCGCACTTGCCATGCCCTCCTAGCGACGACTCCAAGCCCCACGTCGCCAGGCGTCCGGGAACAGTGGCAGGTATCTATATCTACGACGTAAGCGGCGGAAATATTGAAACACCGTTCGCAGACGGATTCCAATCAGAGGAGGACTGTTGTACAGTAGTACCGGGTCGAAAAAAGTCCAGGAGCAAAGGAAGAGTGTGCAGGGAAGCGTTGTTTCTCCCGAACGCTCCTTCGTATTGTTAGCAGCGTGTGTCCCCGAAGGACCTCCGAAGTTAGAGGTCTATTTACGACCTGTTAGTGACCATTTAGGCCTGACCGGATGTAGCTCCCCGAACGGGATGTGTCACATACCGTGGCCGACCCATCCCAACCAGACCGTATTAATATCTACTGATTTTTTCACTTCTTGTCTTAAGACATGCGTTGAATCATACTATTTCTGACCCATTCTCTTCGCGTGGGTACCACATACATCTAAATTTGGTGCTCAGTGTCGCCTGTGCCGCGGGATCCCCTACTACTCCTGGGAGGGCTGATGGAAACGTTACCGCCACCCAGACAATTGTAACCACACACGACGTACCACTACCTCACAACACACCATCAAACGGCCTTTACATTTAGGCGGGGCGCGTATCGCACACATCTTTGACGGCAAAACATCTTGACGAGGAGCTATCGTAGGTCTTTCATTCGTGCATCAACTCGTTGGACACAGAAGGACACACGAGAGAGCAAACACTCTTCCAGCCATGCTGGCCAGTTGTCTGGCCAGGGATTTTTTACCGACGGACACACACCACTCAATGGAAACATCCGTCGAAACTGTTGCCCCTTCATAAATGACTGAATATCCGTCAATTTTGAACGGGCGACGCAACAACCTCGTCGTTGCTGTTGCACGGGAAACACGTACCAGACGACAAGGAGCACACACACTATATTCCCGACGCGGCCATGGGACTGACCGTACGCAAGGATCAAAGCCACCCGGGATGGTCGACCCGTTGACGACGAAAAGACCCTTGACATATTTACGCGAGGACGTCGTTTACCTTCGAAAAAGATCGAACGAAGCCTCGGATACGTTAGGCTCCCGTTCTTTGTTGGGCCAACCAACAACAGCGGCGAACCCACTAAGAACAAACCTCTCCCAAGGCCGCTAATTCCCACAACACCGAGTTTTTTCGGCAGGGGGATACACGTGCACACCGGGATACAGACCCTTAAACCTCGAAAAGGTCAACATTAGGCAGGATGGGCAATACTAACCCTATATACTTTGATCAGGGGGAGCACACAGAAGACATAGTTCGACCACGGGGGATACGGCGATGTTCATCAGCAATGGACCCCCCATGGGGTCCCCCAACACCAATTCCCATGCAACACCAAAGTTCACCACGGGAAAAAAAAAAACGCGCAAAGGGGCAGCGGGTACTGTAGCACTTCGGCCTTGTGAGCACTTCCGCATGCACAGCGCAAACCACCACCCCGACTCTGCGACTCAGGCTGGCCACGTTATTTGGGGCACCCGCCGATGTCGAAGAGGCCGAAGTGTTTCTCGTGGGCGGCACCGTCCTGCTGGCACTCGTCGTACAGCTCGAAGAGGTACACGTCCAGGCGACCTGGCCTGAGCGGGGTCCCCTTGGTGCTGGCCAGGGTGGCGCCGGCCGTGAACCGCCTCGCGCTCTCCTTGTCAGCCATGCCGGATCCCGCTGTCGCGCCCCGTTTGGGCACCACCACCACAGCATTGTCAAGAAACGGGAAAACGTGTTAGTCGAATAAGCGGGCTACCTGCTTCGATTCTGAGAGAGAGCGCGGCAAAAAAGACTCGTCGAAATCGAGTATAAGTGGGGCAAGTTGTTTCTTGTTTTGAGAAAATGACGTGCTTGAAACAATTTATTCGGAGGCGAGATGTTGTGTGGGTGTGTGACTCGCGACAGGATACAATTCTTGGACACTTCCGAACAAGGCGACAAGGACACGAAAACCGCCCTTTCGGTGTGCAGCTAGCACCCTCGCCTAAGAGCTTGGAGGTTGAAAACTGCATAAGAACTTGAGCACTATATTTGTGTGCCCGGATAAGAACGGGTACATTATATTTGTAGACTAATCCTAGGAAACAAGAACCCGAGACTCCGGCAAAGCTCAACGTTCTATTGTGCAGGCGTTAGCTGTAGGATGGTGCTCGAACCGCGTTTGTTCATGGTTGCCAGGGGGCTCACCTGTGGGCCATCCAACCTCGGTGACAACCATCTCCAGCTGGTCCGCTCCCACGATGCAATCCTTGAGCTTGGAGATTCCGGTCACTACCGCGTCAAACTGGTCGCCAACATGGATGAGACGGAGAGCGCAAGTACATTGTATTGTATTGTATTGTATTGTATTGTAGTTGAGATGGCCGGAGGGGTGGTACTGGCTACTCAAAACCGAGCCCGCACACCAAAGTCACGTACATCACCATCAACATCACCGCCAGCAACAACCACACCGGCAAACGCAGCAGGACAGCAGCAGCAGCGTCAGCACACCGTCAGCAGCAGCAGCAGCAGCATCAGCAGCATCAGCAGCAGCAGCAGCAGCAATAACAGTAGCAGCAATAACAGTAGCAGCAACAACAACAGTAGCAGCAATAACAGCAGCAGCAATGACCACGTTCACCACCAATACCACCAAAAAGCAGCGACAGGAAGAGAGAGGCTCCTCCATGCCCTCCACCACCAAGCCAGCCCCCAGCACAACCTTGACCGCCGCACCTACCTGTGCGTTGAACATGTTGGTGTAGCGCAAGCATCCCCCTTCTCCGTCGGTATACCCCTCGTCCGGCCCGAAGAGCACGAAGTCTCGCGAGGCGTGTTCTCTCGCGAAGAAAGGGTAGACGTTGATGCAGAACGGGGATCCTGTTGTTGGCACCAACAACGCCAACGACAACCAAGAGCGCAAGAAAAAGAAAAAAAACTGGTGGTCCCGAACGAATAGGATGCGAGTAGCACCGTTTTTCCACCCGAGCAAGTGTCGGATGGAGCGTGGATGAACGCCTGTCTAGAATAATTGTTTCGTCGGTAACACAGGGTTCCGACCAGCTCTGTTCTCCCTGTCATGGCCTTTTCATAGATGGGGCTCCCCTTTTGCAACACAGTACAGTAGGCATGTTTTCCCTCACCTAGCGCAAAAAAAACTTCTTTAGTACGCTGTGCGCCCGGGGTGGGGGCAAACGAAAGCTCACTGGTAGACTAATGCGCGGGGTAGATTTTCAGAGGGGCGGAGCAATGTGGGTGAGTACCGTTAGCGAAAAATGGTCCCCGTTGGGCCGGACAGGGAGGGGCACCTTGACGTCGAACGGGTGAAATGTTGCGAAAAAAAAGCTTGCCACCACGGACAGGCTTTCCATGCCTTGGCCTCCGCTCATGAGGCGTTTCCACACACAGGTACATGCTCGCCTCTTGACAGGCCACGCTTGCAACCGCTTGCCCCACTGCCGACGACAACGCTTGCCAAACTCTTCGGTCAGGTTACAGTGTTGCGTGCTTTCGCGCCGCCCATTGGTGGAGCACATGGGAGGGTTCCCAACATGCCCCCCACAAATAAAGTTCCGTAGGTGACGCAAGATACCATACACCCCGGATCGACTTCGAAACTCGGGTGCTCCCGGGCAGAACCAGCGGCGGTGCCGGAAATGGCGATGTTGGAACTATCTCGGCGAGAGCTTTCCCAAAACGTATCATTTGGATTGTACATCCCCTCCGCCGTGGAGTAATCGAGGTTTGAAAATCGGTCCAGGGGGTGTGGTATCTTGTGCAACCTACACGGTGGAAGCCTCACCTATCCTGACGAGAAACCTAACGACCTCGCTAACCACCTCCAGGTGAGCCTCGGCGACCTGTCCCGCGCTTGGCGGGTACGAGGCGCCAAGGATGGACATCTCGAGGGGGGTTACCAGCTTCACGCGATCGCTCAGCCCGGTTTGCAGTAGAGCAGTATACACCTTTGCAGCACAGCACGGGAGGCGGATGGATGCGGATAGACTTCAAGTCAGTGTCGGAGCACCCGCGAAGCTTGGGATTCGAGTGAAAAAAAATGTCTCCCCACGTGTTGTGTATGTGTACAATCTTTGAACAGTAGTGCGTGGTTCGGAACGATGTGGTGAGGCCGGGTTTAGAGTCTTCGGCCATCAGGGCTCTATCCCACAACAGGGACAGCAATTTCGCCCAGTGCACCAAAACATTTTCCACAAAACACAACACAGCACATGGGTGTGGGCAGGATCGTCGTTCATATCTGGCATTTCAACATGTTCTTTCTGGCTCCTTTCCTGTCAGCCCTCCCTCCGTCACGATTCATTCCAGAAGAGTTTCGCGTTGCATGCAACAACGCTGTGAAAGCTTGTAGTCTCTGGAGACGTGCATTGCCCTCAGCAGTTGACGAGTTTTCGGGATGGGCGTGTCTCGTTCGTACCTCTTTCATACACGGCACCAGCCTGCGTCCGAACATCTCGACGTGCCAGGGTGCGAGGGCCTCGTTCCCCACCGCCAGGAATATCTCCTTGTGCACGCGCTGGCCCCTCAGCCCGCCGACCACGGGGCTCAGGTGTGTCTCGACCCAAGCCCTCCAGTCGCTCACGGAGAGCATCTCATGGTTGTTGGCGTGGACCATGACCTGCGAGCCGGTGATGGGCGCGGGTTTCAGCAGCAGAACATGTCTATTCAAATACCCACAGCAGTACCGCTTTTCGCGCGTGAAGCGTTTTCCGGAGAGAAAAATGAACAACGCGAAACGTGATCCCAGACGTTTCCGAAATCCAGCTACACTTGTCAAAAGTTCTTTTTCATCACTTAAAATGTTTAAACCAACTCCCACGGCAGCTCTATACTCGCTAGGAGCTCCAATACGCCTGGTACTTTAGGGGTGGGGGGGTGGGGGCGGTGGCGGGTGGGATCGATCGAGAACGTGGACGGAGTTTTTGCCTAGGATGCTGTCTTAAACATTACATAGGCCAGCTTTATTTGCAGTCTCCATCGCCGGTGGCGTGCTGAAGGGCAGCGCTACTGCAGCAACTCTTCACCCCACTGGTGTGCAGAAGCCTCGCGGCTCGTTTCCTCTGTGAATGTGCCAGGTAAATTAATTTTTCGTGTGGGGTGGGGTGAAGTTCTTGTGCGTTTTCAATGCAAACCTCAAGTGCGTTCTGTGGACACAAAGCCACCGCACGGTCCAAAGTACGCGCAAGTTGTGGGTTCATGACAAAAAAGGCCCTCGATAAAAAATGACTGATTGCCAAAGTCTGAAAATCGCCCTTCGAAAGTTTGCTTTCGCCGCACGGAACCGGGGGGGGTGGTATCTCACGTAGACCTACGGCGTACCACGCATCGAACATGCAACACTCACAGGTGCTCATGTGACGACGATGAGTTCATGAAACTACATTACTGTACTTCCATCGTTCATACACCGATAAAGGAGAATCTAATGCCGGAGATCTCGGCTCTACCGCACAGCCAGTGCGTCGTGCAAGCAGTGTCACTCCGAGACCAACGTCGGGGGTAGATTTGGGAACTTCATGATCAACACGTCGATGCATGCGAAAACGCTTGCGATGGCGCCGCCGCTACTGCCTGCTGAAGGCCTGCCAAAGGCCTGCTACGTAGTAACCTAGCGCAGCATCTCGGTCAAAAAGAATATCTTTGTGGACTGACCACGTTCGCTTCCCAGCGTGCGAATAGTTGGTGAACCAAGGTGAACGGTTCCGAAGGTTCAACATCATCTGTTCCGGAGTATGCAGACCCCACACGTACCACGTTGTACCTTTCTGATGTGGTCTTGTTGAGCCGTGGGCAGGACGCGCGAAGCATCGCAGTGCCAAAACTTCACCGCGTCACAGGAAAAGTATCCTGAAGACCTGGCCTGGGCAAGAGCTTGCTCGATTTTCTCGGGTGCCCAAGGGGTCGGCGTGAGGGTGTCTCCGATATTGACCCCAACCATTCTTCCGCTGACAGGTGCAAAAAGTTCTCTGGAAAAGGAGGAGGAACAGAACGGTTGTGTGCCGTTGCTGTAACGGTTGCACGGGTATGCTGTGGTACTCGACTTCCAACGCAATGATATCCGCGCGGCTCTCCCACCCGGGAAAAAGAAAGAGGTGTGATGGGGAGCTGGCAGCGGATGATTGGCTTCAACTTATGAGAATTTGGTTGGCGCCAGAATACAGGCTCTGTGATTGGCTGCCTCCAACGCATCATCGACGGTCCTGAGTCCCGAGTAGCCTGCGGCGTCATTCCGTCTCTGCGTTGAAAGAGCCAATCACAGTCCAAGTCCCGGAGTCCCCAAAAGGCGGCAGGTTCCGGTACCGGTTCAGAATTCGGACTCCCAACTTCTGTCGCGACGAGACGACGAGAGCTGGGAAAGGCCTCGACCAAAGGCTGCTGCAGGGGTGGACAGGCGGAGAGGCATGTGTTGTTGCTGCTATCGACTGTTTCATTTCAAGATCATCTTCCTGATCGAGAAGGCTGTGGCTACCTGATACGTTTCGTGAGTACAGCAAGCGGGCACAACAACAACACGATTCACGATACATTTATGGATAGTCTAAATAGCAGGGTTATCATGTGACATGTGACACCGCAGCCCACATTGGTGAAATGCCATCTCTTCAGGCAACAGGACCACACGCACCGATCTGGTTGCTATCTGGTATTATTGCATGCGTGCGTCCAGTATACGCATGTGTAGACAGCAGCAGGCTTCAGGTCTCGGGAAAACATAATACGTTTACTTGCCGTACCTTGTGGTGTGTGACATATATTTGTGTGTCAACCAACAGGGCACGAAGAAGGCTCCGTACCTAGCCGGGCGCGTGATTTCTGTACGTGAGGTTCCCCAGAGAGGGCTCATGCACGCAAGCTGTGGCTACATGAAGTCTGCCTGCCACGGAATGGACGATTGACGTCCTGCTCGTGTCAGGGTCAACGTTGTACACCGTGACGGCGCTATGTTGCATCTGGGCTATGTGGAATATGCGGAAGCCCTTTTTCATGGCGTTGAGGTAAGCCCGATGTCTGGTATGCGCCCACCTAATCACAAAAAATCACAACGGCGGAATATGTAGACTATGTAAGCATCGCTGAAAACGTATCTGCATTTGCCCTCTAATGTCTGGGAACCTGTAACTAACTTGCAAGTCAGTCTGGACTATGTACGGTATGAAGATGCCGTGGCCGTGCTCCATCCCCTCGTCCTCATACCCGATACCTGCTTCATCATGGGCTACCTCTATGGGTCTCCACTGTTAGGGTGCTTGGTTGGGACGACCTACACTCTGCGATCGTGCACCGGGACCTATGTGATCCTCTTGGAGTTGCAAGATCCGAGCCCAAGCGGTCATATCCAACTTACGGGCGTCTTGGCCGGCTTACGAATCATCTTTGGGCCGGCAACACTGGTGTGTCTGGTGTAATCTAATTAGGGGCGGCTGGAAGCCTACAACCTCAAGGCTATGCCTGGCGTCCTCCGAAGAACCTCATCCTCCTCAAGGATACGCAACAATGTCTCGCATCGTTTTAGTCTACATATGCATCTGAGGTGACGCTAACACGTGGGTTGCAGAAGAAAGCAACGTTGGTGACTGATTTCGAACAAACTGAGCAACTGCTTTCAGTGTTTGAACGCGATCTCATCTTGTGTGGCTTTTATTTCTCACCCTCGTACCGCAACGTATGGCCGTTCACTCGGTTGCCTTCTTTGGTTTAGCCCCTGGATATAACGGGATCTACAACAAACTGCTCCGTCCTGTGTCTGTGCTCCTTTCTCCTAAACCTCCGTGCGTTTAGGTCGAAATCTTAGACTACATCTTGAGAGAACGCCCAAGTCTGGTCGCGGTTCCGGAACGGGAACAACGTCAAGACTGAATTTCATCTGCGAACAGTGCATATGGCGGAAGGAAGCGTCCTTGTCGATGCTGGCCCCACACCTTCATTTCCACGAATTTCAAGGCTGGACTCCGGTGACAGCGTTCACCATCAAACCAATTCACTGTAGGATATCGTGTCACCCTCATCCTCACGAACTGCGTACACGACCTACGCTCCGATGCTCCTATTCCCTGACTTGCTATTGTTGGCTCACGCATGAGCGAATGTAGTCTTCAAGGACACCAAGCGATGAGAACACGCCTCCTTCAACAGCCCCGCTCTGCCCGCCCAGGACACATCTTGGCCCAGAAAACACAAACGACCCCTCTGCGATTTCAGGTGTCTACCGGAGCCATTATAGCATGTGTGCTCCGCATACTGGTCATGTACGACCCAGTCAAAAGAAGGAAGTATGGTCGCTACACCAAAGAAGAGCGCATGTTCCAAGCGCTGGTCTGGATGTTCGTTCTTCTCGAAGTTGGAGCTTGGTCAACTGCGTGCGTGACCGGAGGGGAATGGTGAGAGCCAAACAGGAAGCAGAGTGTTTGGGATACAGACATAAAAGCCAAATCTGAAAGGAAGATTCAGTCGCACTCCATTCAAGCCCTGGTCGAGAATGACGTAGCGTGCGCGATTGATCTGAACCGTGCAAGCGTACATATGTTTCGTGGAATATTTATTACCCATGCAGAAAAAAACACAAAAACAATGGTGGTTTCCAACGTTACGGAACATTTTATGTAGTGAAACAGCCGAACAACAACTATTGACATCATTCTTTCATAAGCGTGTGGCCCTCGCACAGAAAAAACTGCTATTTCCCAGCATCACCCAACACGTTATTTCAATTTTTGCGGTCGCCTTCCTTGGCTGTTTCTTTAGGAAGTAGGGTACGAACGCAGGAAACTTGGATACAACTCAAAGAACGGATTGTACTCTGTCCAGAATGAGAATCGGAAACTCGCCAGCCTGTCGCAAACGGGGTTGAAACCTCACATAGGCTGGCGCAGGTCTGCCCGATAGCTCGAAAATTTCGAAAATCATTTTTTTCAAGCTCACTAATAGACACCAAGCCTTTCTCAAAGGTGCACCCTCGCGTTCAGAGGAAAAGTGCGGGAGAAGTGTGCCTGCGGTGGGGTGCGTCAGTGGTGGGAGCCCGGTGGGAAATCAGTCTAAGCTTATCGAGTTTTCCTACCGCAGGGGATGATCACGGTTCACGGTTTCGATTCTGATTTCGGAAACGTTCAGGCACGACCAAGCCCGCTAAGCAATGGCAGTTGTTGAGACTGCCGACGACGGCGTCGTTACGGACGTGGAGCGCCTGTCAAAAACGTCTAGACGAAGGACGTATGAAGTGATATTGTTGTTGTTTTCTTTCGAATTGCTTCATTATTATTGGTTTCTAGGCTACACGTTGGGGAGTGAGATACACGGAACGCATATCATCTCGCCAGCCACATTGGCTACGAAGCGCGGCGTTGACTCCTACAAACCCGTCTCGCTCTCCCCGCAAAAAATACCGGCCGTGGAACTGCGACTGTAAACGTAGGGGTCCCGAAACTGACCAAGCCCCGAAATGGTAGATTTACACACCATTCTACAACAATACTGCCGCCGTCTACGTTTGGCGGCCACTACTGCTGTCCTTCCTTCTCTTCCCACGCTCTGTAGCTTCCGTTCGTTCTCCACTCGCTACACCGCTGCGTTCTCTCTTCTCGACGGACTGGCAGGAAGGGGTTCTAATTTCTTCCGCCGGTGACCCCAGGTTTCCGAACATTTCATGAAACTTCGATCCGAAACTGCCAAACCAATAAACCGCAGTATATTCTGTCTGTTCGACGAATAAACATTCCTGTTATTGCGAGTACAAAAGCGTCGAGGGAATGGTGGTCCGATCTCCTCAAAGTGTCCCTGCTAAGACATGTCGAGCTGGAGGTCGCGTCCTACTCCGTAGTACCATAGGCGTTGACTGTGTCCAATAATCAGACCGAGGGTTACGACATGAGTTGTTCATGTGCACCTTTTCGATATCGTCGTCTTTGCTGTTTTCGCGACTTACGGGCATGGACACGGCTCCTTGCATAGGCGAGGTCGCTTCAAAGGCCACTACTTGTAGGCAGGGGGCGCCCGCGCTACCCAGGCCCACCTGTTTAGGGTGTGTGAGGGATAGTTATAGTTTCATAGAAATCTGTCCGTCTCTCTGTCTCTGTCTCTGTCTCGAGGGCGACCCACCATCTCATTCCCAAAACCAAATTCGAGAGCCGTCCCTCCTTAACCTTGCCAATGTTACACGCACGAATGTCACGGTTTCCACGTTCAAGAAACCTGGAGTCCAACCCTACTACAGTAGTACTCGACACGCCAATTGAGACTACTCAGAGTTCTTGATTTTGAAAAGCCTCGTCTGTCGTACACAGCTTGGCGTTTAATAATTTTCGGAATGCTGTCTGCTCCAGGATAGCCAGGAAGGTGTCAGTTCTTGATTTGCTATCCATGCTGGCAGTCTTGGTCGCTGCTGTGCTTCTGAGTGGCCAACTGAGGAAAGTCCAAGACATTTGCCAGCTTTCGCGGGACACCCAACGCCTCGGCGCCCTTGTGCTCTGGACAATCGGTGAGCATCAGGCAGAACATACCGCCGCCGCCGCCGCGAACATGTTTATTTCCCGGCTTCAACGGCATTATTGAGTTCATATCCGAGGTTGGGCGATAAAGGGCCACGTGTGTGGTAGACCCAATCCCGAGGAATTTCAAGGTTGGGAAACAGGACTACTAGGTGGCACTTGATTCCCCGAAACCCGCTGCCATCTAAGCACCCCGTCAACGACGAGGTGTGAGTTCTGCCGTTGCAAACAAAAGTGAACATGCTGTGTGTATCCCTAGCCCTTTCCTAGGTGTGCGATGTAGTCTTCAAGATGCTGGCAACAGTTGGTTTCGGACCGTCCTGGGGGTAGGATGCACGTATCGCAATTCAACGCCTTGAAGGTAGAGATTTTTCTGCGCCAGAGTAGCGCTCGCCCCCGACCCGCCCTTCCATTTTCCCATTGCTACCACGTGCCGCTCAGGCGTCTACATCATGATGACTTTCCTGCCTCTGCCCCCCCTTGCCTACAAGTACATGGTAGTGACACGCTACATCATCACGCTTCAGCCCGTTGCGTGGGCCATGTAAGGAATGGGGCA